AAAGGACACAATGGCTTCAGGTAATCTGTTAACCTTGAATTCCAAGACAAGTCAAGAAGCCTTAAATGTATCAGTTGTCCTACCTCTTTCGGGAGTTTACTGAGTGAATTACTACAGTCAACAGGCATGCCCAAATCCAATGACCTAAGAAATGTCAATTGACTAAATAAATCAAGTAGAGGTCCATCACTCTTAGACTCATGGCGAGGAAACCCAACCAAAATGCTTCTTAACTTCTTTAACTTGTAAACATAGACAGGAAATGGTGAATTTTCTCCAACTAAAATCATTGAATGGCGTGTTTTTTCACATAACGACTTTATTTTTGGCATTTCAGTTTCACTATTTTCTATTAAAAAACATTCATTTTTCACCAAAAATTGGGCAAAATCATGCACTATGTCATGCATCTTGCATATTAACTTGGTTTCATCATAACGAACATTTTCAAAATCTTGAAAAAAGGAGCGCATAGCCAAATTATCAAAATACACCTGACCAACAATTTCCATATTGTCTTTAAGATAGCCTTGCGCCATCCATAATCTAATCAATTTCTCTCTCGATATGATGTAATCTTTTGGAAAGATGGCACAGTATAAGAAACACTGCCTTACTTCAGAAGGCAAATCATAATAACTCAACAGCAAATGAGGAAAAAGCTCTTGTTCAGCCTCTTTTAGCTCCCATATTTGGTTATCTAACACACTCTCCCATTGTTCTCTAGTTTTCCTAAATCGCAAAAGACCTCCAAGGAACTTTGCAGCAAGAGGCAGGCCATTACACTTGCGTGCAATTTTCCTACCAATATCTTCCAGATGTTTGCATTCTTCATCTGTTCTACCAAAGAAAGCTATGTTGCTAAATACAGACCAACATTCTTCCTCTGACAATTTCTCCAAGAAATACATGTGGGTGCTTCTGCTTCCCATGATATTCGCAACGCTCTCCTTCCTTGTGGTCACCAAAATCTTACTTCCTTGAAGACCACACTTCAGAGAATGTTCCAAGCATGCCCATTTTAAGGAATCTTCATTCCACACATCATCCATGACAAGAAGAAACTTCTTGTTTTTAATATATTGTTGTATTGCTTGGAGTAGATTTTCTAATTCAACTAGATTTGGGGTGCTACCAAGAACGGATTCAAGGATTGCCTTAGCAATCCTAATCTCATCAAAAGGATCCGAGACACACACCCATATCCTCTTTTCAAAATGTTCCTTTACACCCTTATCATTAAAGGCTAATTGAGCCAGAGTTGTCTTTCCTAATCCTCCCATCCCAATAATGGAGATCGTTTGGAAGGGCGATCCTTGACTACTTTCTTCCAACAACATCCTCACCACTCTATTTTTAGTTTCTTCTCTACCGCGCACCTGAAATTCATCGATGACAGAGCTAGTCATTTGTCGCTCAAGATGTGCTGTTTCCCTTCCAGACTGAAACTCATACTTGATTCTCTCATTTGCGATAGCATCTAGTCTCTCATTCAGCTTTTTAATTTTGTGAGCAATGTCATGGCGCAAAAGAGATCGATTGATGCAGCAACAAGAGGAGGAAAAGGAGGAGCATACCTTGAGTACGGAGCCATTCTCAACCTTCTTCTCTTCACCTTCAATTCTTAATTTAAGTAGAGCAGTATTCCACTCATCCAAAACATCCTCCATGTCATAGGAAGCATCTTTCAATTCCTCTAACCAGTTCCTGACGTTGGCCTCCTTCACCAATCGTTTCTCTGCATCTTCAAGCACATCTTGAATGGCCTTGAAATTGCAGGTAAGCTTTTGGACTTCTTCTTCAACACCCACAACCAGTCGTACCTCCTGCTCCACCTCTCTGTAAGCAATGGAAACCAACTGCTGTAGGACAGCAGATATAATTGCATCAGCCATTCTCAGGAGATTAGAAAGGAATCAAGATTTAAGAAGGTAGATGAAGTCAACCAAGGGGGTCAGAAAATGGTTTCTCTCCTTCTTCTAAAGTTTAATAATTAAATGAATGATGACAACTATGATAAATCATTTTATTTAGATTTGTTTGGTAATAACTTGGAGAAAGAATGACATTTTTTTTAATTAATCTCACCTACGACGTGATTTCCTATAATTTCGACCAATCACTTGGATTAATTTCTTCTACTTTCCATTCTACGTTGGAATGAAATATTTAACCGTGAAGCATGCCGGCAAAGACGGCAATAGAAAGTGAAAAAATAAAGAGAGAGAAAAAATATAGTGAATGAAAGCCAAGGAAGAAGAAGAAGAAAAGAGGACGGCAAGGTTGCCCCTTATTATATATGATATTGCAGCAGCTATATTTATATGCAGCCTTGGGCTTTTATATTATATACGTGTATTACTGCAGTTATATTTTATATACACTCGTGTGTACGTGGCGGCGGCCATGAGTTGGCACTAACCAGTTGAGCCAGGTTGAAGAATGAATTCTATTATTTTCAATTAATAGAATTCATTTTTTAACAATCACAATACATTTAAATTGTCTCACACTTGATACTAGAACATAAAAGATTCAATCGAGATAGCTTTCAGTTTAACAGCCAGAGTTCATATATATATATATATATATATGTATATTTGATGCGGAAGCACTTGATGAAATTATGTTTAAACTATCAGTTTAAGAAGAATTATAAGAGTTGATTTGCAATTGTTTGTTAATATATTTGAAACTCATGAGTCAAGAAAATGACAAACACATTTGGTGTTCAACTATGCACTTATAAATAAAACAAACTCAAGCAAAATTTTCATCTGGGACTGAGATCTTCTATGTAAATATCAAATGCTAATATATAAATATTTACCAAATGACAGCATGTGCAATCAGCTATATTAGTTTGTGCATGATGTAAATATTGCTGTCTCCAGCAATAATACATAATTTTGCAGATACCATATTAGAGTTCAAACAAAGGCTATCAATAGCTCTTGGAGCAACTAGAGGTAAACTCAAACAAATCTTATGAGAAACTTTGAAGTCAAGAGCTGTTGAGAAAGACTTCATTGAAGTTCAATTCGAAAAACAAGAGGAAAAAATATATATATATATATATTGTAAGTTTATGCCATTTGCACCACCTTAAATAAAATATTTCTGGATTATTGCCTACTTGGAAGCTTCACAGCACAGGGAATGAGGGATTTAATCAGACTAATGCTAAAATGCATGATTCTTTCCAGGAAGGAGAAGACCAAAAATGGATACGGTAATTACTGAGCTCGAAAGGATTCACGAGAAGGAGATGGAGCTAACAACTCTTATGGCTGAGGGTACTGCCACAATCACTTCTGGTTGTTTATGTCAAAATGAAACTAAAAGAAAATTACTTCTGGTTGCATATCGATGCTTGCATATCAATAACAACAGTTATTCGTGTTCATTATATGCTCGCGCTAAGTCTTAGTTTAGTAACTCCAACAACTACTTCTGGTTTACATTGTTTCAAAGAGAAATGTAAAACACCTGTAAAGGAATTGATATGCAAGCATCAATTTGTTTGTTGATTATGAAAAATAATAGTTGTTCGTTATGAGAGCCATCATCAACAACTCTTAACACTTCCATTTTATTTATGATCCAAGCTTTGAATTGTTATCTATCTAAAAAAAAAAAATATTCGAACTGTTTATCATAAAGAATTTTAATTGATCTTCATAAATTAATCTCGAAATTTTTTATTGGATTATCATCATATGAGTGAAATGATATGATAATTTTTTTTAGAGAAAAAAAATTATTAGAGATAAGAAGAAATATATTACAATAACGGAGAATAAGATATTCTTTTTGAGATTTCACTTAGAAAAGTTCCGGAAAAGAAAAATTACTGAATTTTGTTGCAACAAGGCCCCAAAGATCAAACTATTATCGCCTCCCAATTTCGGTGAATATTCAGAAATTCCCCCTTAGCCTTTGTCCATAATGTGACTAAAAAAATCTTTTCCAAATAAATCAAAAGTTATATAAGTTTGCAAGAACTAATTTATTAAAAAAAATATTATAGATTAAAGAAATGAAGTTATTTTAAATGAATAAATTAAGCTAGATTTTGAACTAATAGAATTTTGTTGGAACCTTTTTCTTAAGAAAAATGAATTTTACACTTATTTTAATTGAAAGGTATATAAACTTCATTGAGAAAATTATTTCACTTATAAAATTTGTTGCATAATTAAACTAATATATTTTAAAATTTTATTAAATTTTAATTGAAAATAAATTGTCAAGTAAATTATACATAAATTTCAAATTTATTTCAAATATTATGTTAGTAAAAAATTTATGAAAACTTGGTTTATTTAGTGAATATGACAATGATTTAACTAGATATATTTGTTAGAAATTCAGCCATGGTTTTTTACACTAAATCCTTATAGACCATCGAGTCTTTATACTATAAACATATTTATATCATGATATAAATATTATATAATTTTTACACCATGCCTAAGTTTTTATGCTATCGCGAAGAACATTTGATCTCTAGCATTTCTATTTAATATTTTTTAAATGCCTACATGAATTTTGTTTAAATATAAACTAAAGTATTTTATTATGAACAGTTAATTAGAGAAGATCTAAATAAATTACTAATAAAAAAATTGCATGAATCGGTGTGCTGGCTATTTGGCAAATCAGGCCTTCCATTGGCTTCCTAGGAATTACACTTACAACATCCTCTTAAGAAGTTTTTGAGCATCACTAGAGATGACATCCTCGGAGTTTTTTTCTTTACGATGTGTAATATCTAGACATGAAATCTGTACTATGTTGTTGTTTTTCTTTGTATCTAAATAATAATAATAATAAATAACACAAGTAAATCATGCCAATCACATGATTAGAGTTTCTAATCA